TGCTAATTAGTGGATTTAATTAGTTGAGATGGTTCACATTAAAGTTAGTTTTAATAATAAGTAATTTAAACACAGTAATTAACGAATTCCATATAGTTTTTCCTATTTTCACATATTGGGTTGTTTTCACATATTGGCACGCTACAGACGTAAATATCCGGCAATGAATACTAGAAACATCACCTTTGAAAATGTTGCTTTCACCAGATTATCCGGAAGAGCATTTCTGAAAAAGAAATCATGAGAATAAGAATATTGATCGCGGGAGCATTTTGCGTTAGTCTGATACAGTGTTATTCCAAATAATGTATCTATCATGATGAGCTGTTAAGTATTACAGAAAACGCTACTTCCGACGGTCAGCGTATCAGTGTGTGAGAGTATTGCTAGCGTAACAAAACCCATATTATATAATAAGTATATTGTCTGGCACTATCACTGTCATTGTGGATAAAGTTCCGGTATATGTACTGGTGACGTACCGGGGTATATCATACTATATTTATTGCGGTACATGTATGATATATAACAATATGAAACCAAATTTAAATCGACTCCAACAAGTCATTTAGCATAATATAATACATTTCAATTATAAATTGATTTTGAATTTACCTCATCATATCCAAAACGGAATCTAGTTGGCTCATGCTATTAGAAATTCTTCCCGGTTGTTCTGCTGCTTCCTTGCCAATAGAAATAACAACAATGCCGACGGTGCCAGTGATGACAGCACACACTGTGGTTACAAGGTAGTAGATTAAAGCCTTCAGTCCGATACTGCCTGAAGTCTTCATCGATAACGAGGCCAGGGACGAGACAATACTGGAGACAACAAGAGGCACAGACACCATCCGTAGAGTGTTGAGCATAATGTCCCCGGGGAACTTGAGGTAAAAATGATTTCTTCTGTCCACAAGTGACCCCGTTGTTCTCAAAACACAACCGAGTACGATTCCAAATAGCATTGACATAAGTATAAGTATAACAAGCAGGTTTCTCCGTATAAATTTCGCTACAGCATTACCAGTTCTGTGTCTATTTAATGTCGCCATCTAGGATATCAAAAAAAACATTTTTTTAATTAAATCGACCAGCAAAATTGATGTTTCTGTAAAGTAGTCTTTACTTGGATATTTCATGTGAATCTACCCTACTTTACACTTGTATATTCGTTCTTTTGACCTTTAATAGCAGTGTGAAGAGGTACTTCACCAAATAAAAATGTTTAGAGTTACTTCCCTTGTCATGTTGTTCATTTCCTGTTTGCGGACTATGTATTTGCAGCTAGTTAATAGCAGTAATAGTAAATTGAAAATGAGAGATTGCAAATTCCTACATGTGTAACCTAATAACAATAGAAACACAAGTCTACAACTGAAGCAGTAATGGAAAACGAACATAACTGGTAAGGCCATAAACTAAGACAACACTCAACACCATACATGCTCACGGTCATTTTGTTTTTTTAGCATGAAGGTGAATATGTTCTATATATCCTCGTTAAAGAGAAATGTCTAAGTAGTTATGTGATTTATTGCCTTTCTATTCTCCTGTCATATAATTCGATGGTTTGCGGAAAAGGAAAATGCTATTGTTTCACACATAAATCATCGATAGAAGGATTATATTAACAGTTATTACTAGAAAGAAATACCAATATATATATAAAATACCGTATTGAAACAAAATGGTTTGTATGGATTAAAACGAAGGAAGGAAAACAGATGTGTTTGTCGAGGAAACATAAGTGATGTTTTTGGGTCAATTGTGATAGAGATTTCATCTGGATTTACTAACTACAACCATTGTCGACGCTGCTGCTACCAAAGTCTAACGATAGTACTAGAACACATGAAAGTATTAATGCAAAGTTAGTCAGCGATCTGTGAAATATCAATAATATCGGGAAAATCACCGTATTCGAAGTTAAATATCAATTTATAACATTTTGTTCACATTTATTTTAAGAAATCTAAACTCGTGATCCCGGAATCTATTATAATACTTGAACTGAGAAAAGTATATGTGATACACAGTTATTGTGTCCAAAAAGCAAAGTGCTGATAATAACAAGCATTACTACACAATACATACCTCATACACTCCTGTACTCCGTCTCAGTTTATGATGACTGTTGCTATTGAAGAACGTATCGCCTAAAGAAAGTTCATAATGTAAAAATATCTTTTAAACGTATATTCATAAAGAAACCCCTGCTTTGGAAGAAGGCTCACATAAAATCTGTAGACCGTACAAATATGTGTGTCTGCCTTGGTTGACCTAACATTAAACACATTCAACGCCATTCAAAAAGAAAGTTTTCCGTGTTTATACCATTAGTGTGAGAAACTGATTATCATAGATAAATGTATTTGATAAAAATACCTGTTAAATCTAGGTATAGAAATTTAACGACAAGGCATTTCAATAATAAACATTGAAAAACAAGATTAAGTGTATGTATAATGGTGGCGTAGACAAGTCATGGCCGTTAACTTGTTGTAAAGGTCGACATCAAAATATGTAGCTACATGTACATGTGTCCATTTAAATGGACTGCTCGGACAGTTGATTTTGTAAAACATTGTCTGAAAGGACATTAATATAGAGTATACGGATTTTTAAAGGTTTGGTAGGTACATACGATAGGTCAGAATCCGAATGTATTTTTGATGTAGTGGGCGTTTTATGAGCAAAAATCATATACACACATTTTGCAGTAAACTATACATACAGTCTATTATCCTTTCTTCTGTAACGTCGGCAATATAGCAACACTTTCCAGTTCTTGTACAAACAGCTGTAGAATCGTAACGCAATAAAATGTTGTGTTTACAATTCTTTTCGCTATACGTAAAAACACGTTTAAAATAGTGTAGACATGTATTTGCATTGTTTTCATTTCATTATAACCATATTTTTATCCCGACAAAATTGAGCTGATTGTTAATATATTTTGGTTCTGTGTGTTGATGTAACCTCTTGTTATCGGTTTCTGCGCACTTCAGAAGCAGCTGCGAGTTCGTCTCATATCAGTAGAAAACTGTTGAAATTACTGATGACTGTCATAGACATGTGTAAGATCTACTAATGGAACACAAAACACACAAAAAAACAAAAAACACATAAATCTGTATTTTTAAAAATTTAGATATTTCTTTTCTATAAATTACCTGCCAGTAGTAGCCGTCATATATTTCCGTTTCTGGAAATTGATTCAATGTTCAAAGAAAGACAACTCAAATACACTTAAACGAAATTCTTCGCGGTGACCTGCGCCAACAAATGCTTCGTTGTGTATTTCAAGTATGATCTTTGATTGTCAAATTAATTTTCGAAACAATTTTTTTCAAAATTGCACATTTTTTATTGATTTTGAATATGTCAACTTAAACGAATTCATGCAACTAAATATAAATATAAATCATTAGTTTTATTTAGTTTTAAAAGAATATGTTATTATTTTATTTTTGTGAAGTCTTATATTGCTTTTATTTGTCATTCCTTTTCCATTTAAAATTGCTGAAATTTTTAAGTTCACGGCAAAACAAGATTTATATTTCTTTGCAAATAGTGTTTACAGATATACGAATGTCTCATACGCTTTATGAAAGTCGGGTGAAAAATGGCGAGGTGATGTGGCCTCATTTGCATACGACAATCTCGTACGTTTGCCAGACTACAAAAAAGACTGGGTCATGAATGAAAGATATCACTTTTATGTCCGTCATAGATTCATTTTGAGCACGATAAAAGGTGTATTAAGAAAAACTGCGCATGTCTGCCTGTTTTTTGATCAGTTATAAATTCTTACGTTTTTGGAACAAACTTCCGTTATATTTTTGTTAGTTGCAGACGATGGCTAAACGTCTTAAATTCCTCGTGTAGTATCAAGCTTTTCACGTAGTAACGAGAAACAGTTGATAAAATTTCTGCGCTGAAATATATAACGCTCGGAAACCTATGACTAGACGACACTTGATTGTCAATTAGATGTTTGTTAACTCCTTTATTTATAGTGATTATTTTTGCACAGTTCTGGCGAATGTCTTTATACAATATGCTTTAGCATAAGAAATAATGGATCAAAACCTAGTATCAATTGAATTTAAAGAGAACCATTTGCAATTATCGTTAAGCATATTTATATCACAGAAAAAATGAGTACGCTTTAAAATATTCATACTAAAAAATAGTCATATGTCTTTTACAGAACATGGTTTCCCTTGTTTCATAGTTTTTATATTCTAACCAATCAAGACCATATCCGCTTGGATAGTTTAGATAGTATGTTTTGACAATTTGGACACAAGCACCCTACAGCTACACATCAAAATACAACGTTTATCAAGTTTTGTTTAATTTGTTTTATATTATTTAGTTTGAGTAAACAAAGAAACGTTTTGTATACAGATAGACGATTCTTCCAAACACCATCCATACCAATATGGATCAATTTTTACATACACATGTACTAAAACCTATCGACAAAGCATTTCGCATAGGAATCTACTTGCGTTACATATCAAATATCAAAATATGTTATACGCATATTCTACATATTTATAGAAATAATGCATGCATGCATGCTGGTACCTTAAACATGTAAAATGCTTAGATATGTAGATCTTCTTCAATTTCAAACTCTGTTCTATCTCAGCTATCAAACCAAGTATTATGCTGAGGAACTTATATACTGTATTCATTTTAGTTTTTAGCAAACAACAATACTCGTTTATGCTGCTATTGGTTAGTTGTTCGACACTACACCGTATCTTCTGTCGTGCTGGTAACAAACAATGAATTCGATCATAAATGCGGTAAAGTTTGAACCCTCCTGCTGTTGCGTACCACAAAAAATTAAAGAATTAAAAGACGTCACAGGTGTATGATTGATTAATAAATTAAATAAACTTGATATCGATCACAACGTACAATAACACATCGACAAAGTAAATAACAAATTTGAAATAATTATATAGCAATAAATAAACACAAGTTTACCTCTTAAACTCGCAGTGTGTTACCAAGGAATAACTCGTTGTCTTTATAATGTTAATTGTTAGAGAACTGTGCTCGTGCTTTCGACATGGTATTCCAGTGAGGAAATATAGTCTGCATAAGAGCTGCGCTATCACAAGGAGACAAAAGACACCCACATACCGCCTCCAGCACAAATGAACAAATTTGAAGGCATAAATATCGTCTATTAATGATTTCAAGAAATTAAAATCAATTTGATTTCATTTAAGAAAATGATAAAAAGAGAAAAACTGAAAAAAAAACGATAAAAAGGGATAAATCTTAAAAAAATATAAGAAGAGAAATTCCTGTCGGTGATGTGAAACTTATTTATAAACCGTATGAATGATACAACCATGTTTGAATAGCATTTGAACTAATCAGAAGTATTTCAATTGTGGCTTAATCTAACTCGGCTTCACTTAAATCTGAAATCTGAATCTTAACATTAAAGTGTGTAATTGACTGTAAATAAACAACAAACCCTTGTTCTTGCTTCGCTTTCGTGTAGTTTATCTCAAACTTTCGGTGGAAACTCAAGGTTACATCTAATTCATCCGTCATAAACAGAATACGGACAATAATTCCGGATACTTCTCTGGTGGTCACAAAATATATATAACATATATATAACATCCCCCCGCTCAAAAAAATGAACCCCAGTGAAATTTAAACAACCACCAAGGAAGTATCCAGACATACAAAACAACAGAGTAGTTAATGAAAAAAAAAATGGAAAAGGAATTATATACCTAGACCATACAAGGTGTAACTGTTCTAGAACTACATTAAGGCAATAAATTATGCATATAAACATACAGAAAATGTCCAACAATGGCAACATTCATAGAAAGCTTTGACTTATAAAGAATGAATGATTAGACTACCAGTTTAGGGTCCAGTTTCATGTTTGAGAACGGGCTGTCTTTTATAAAAAAAATCTTGGAGTCAGTTTTGATGTAAGAGCTTCTCAATATTTTTAAGATTTTAAATATACTACGTATGAACATTCTGTGTTTTTTTGTACGTCTTATTTACTACTTGGCCGCAGTTAAGACGAGTCATTGACTCAGTTTTTTCATCAAGTATAATTGACCATTATTATAATTGAGATTATTAGTACTGTTTATATGTATCTAAGATGTGTTAAATACTCTATTTATCCTCTATAACGGGACGGGTCACAAATAACTCCCTACAATGTTCAAATGTTTTATAATAACCAACACAATTTCAATCTGCAACGTCATCAAAATAACGAAATACATCACCATCCGTCGAGATATTAATAGGTATGTATTAACCACAACTCATCTCAGTTCATAAGAGAACTACTTAATGAGGAACCTCCTCAACAGCAATGTGTCGCCCCTGTTCATAAGCTTGTTGATCCCCGACATAAGGTAAGATGTATAAAATAAAATATGTTTTCTTATTTGTTTTGTTATTTTCAACAACATATAACTTGCATTGTTAAAATACTACAAACATAACCAGCTATATAAAAGCAAGGTACGGAGGCACGGTAGTCTAGTGGTAGGACGCCGGGCTCGTGACCGAAAGGTTGCGGGTTCTAGTCACGGCACGGCACTCTGTTGTATCTTTGAGCAAGATCATTTTAAAACTCCGCTTGTTCCAGTTTACTCAGCTGTAAATGAGTACGTGGTTGGGCAGTGCTAGAATTGTAGAATGCTACCTTTGAGCGCCGAAAGGCAACACTGGCTGTACGCTTCCCAGGGAGTTGAGAAAGATATTGGCTGGTTGCAAAGGCCCTATAACCACGGATAATAATTTGTGAACTGTTTTAAGACGACCTACGAACTAAGATACAGCGGTATATAAAAACCTCCAATTATTATTATCATTATCAAAGCAAATTAACAACATCATTAAGAGCCTATCTAACGATGAAAAAAAGCACTTATTGAAAACATATCAAGCAATGCATATTGAACAAAACAGCATTGTAAAAGAGACATTTTAAACATATTATTTGAATTTGCATTCGTGAACTACCGGTAATATAATTACTAAGTTTAAATTAAACTGTAGTGTCTAGTAGCACCCCGTTAAATATAGCGAAATAAAAACTTGCAAGGTAATATAAACCGGAACGCTGAAATTCAGAGGAGAAAAAATATTTTAAAAAAATATAAAAATAAAGGAGGATCATACATGGTGATGGTGTGGATATGATTGTTTGTTCTATTTATTTCGTATATCATTTATAGTGTAAATCACAGTGCATTGAATATTGATAAAAAAAACAATTGGTTTGGTGTGGTTTAGAATATTTCTGTTTGACGTCCTATCAACAGCTAAGGTCATTTAAGTATGTGCCTCCATGTGTGTTGTGCTTGCTTGTGCGTGAGCTTCTTGTGATAGTGCGGGTCTAATGCCGACTTTATAGCGCTATCTCACTGAAATACCATGCCGAGGGTACCCAGCATAGCATTCCGCCCGGTCACATTATACTGACAATGGGTGAACCAGTTTTTGCAATTAACTTTAACGTAAACCAGGGAAAACAACTACCATTTAAAGATATTTCCCAACCTTTGGACAGAACCTGTGCCTTCCTAACCTGGGCGAACGTTCAACCTATTATTAAAGCCAAAATTGAGGTGTTGCCAAGCAAAGGAGCTAGGAAATAAAAGTAGTTAGAAGAAGAATGAAATAAAGAACATGCAGTGGGTAACAGTAGGTATATTCGTTTCTCGATCCTCGACCTGCAGGGGTGAAAACCATTGGTATACAAACTCATGCATTAATAAGATCATGCGAAACAATGTCAATTTTAATTTTAATTTGCATATATTGTTTGTGAACATTGAGATGAAGACGTAGAATGCTGAAAGTTGAATAGTATCATTGTTATTCACTTGGACCTCCACTGTGCAAGGAAATATTTAGAGTTTATGAGGAAAAGGTCTGTGACGACACTTCAGTAAGTGGAACACGCCACCTCGTTCCCTAACAAGCTCAGCTATAACTAGTAATTCAATACCTTCGTGTAACAGCAGTTGTATTCCTGTCTCATTAAACATCATTAAATTGTAATTTTTGACTTGTACATTTGTCCGACTCACGGTAAACGTTTAATTTTTCACGGTAAAACGTTTATTTTCCAAAATTCTGCAGGGGCTCGAACATTAGTCGCCTCCTACAATACATGAATTGGGTAACAATAATTATGTTCTTTTCTCGATCCCCGAACTGCAGAGGTTAAATGGTATAACTCTAAAGTACTTAAGGGGTAATTCTCAAATTTGATATTTAGGTTCCCCTTGGTCTCTTTGATTTGACAGCAAATAATTGTTATCTGTGTTTCACAGAAACCGAGAAAAACATAAATCTTTACTCAAATTTTATATGTAGGTTTCCCTGGATTGTGCATGTTTAGTTTTGAAATTGATTGGACAGGTGGTCATTTTGGATTTTGACATTGAATTTGATGTATTTCTGGGGTTTTTCAGAAAGCACAAGAGGGGATTTTCTCAAATTTTAAATGTATGTTTCCTTTTTTCGCTTGTTAAAAAATACCCCCTGATAATTCATCTCTTATTGCCAGCGCCTCTAATATGTAAGACTTACAAATGTTTAAGCATTTTGCATATAGTTCTGCAATTATTGTACAATAACATTTGCCGTAGTGGAAAATAACGCACTAGATTGATGTTTTAGGTTTTAAACATTGGAATTAGTATTGGTAATTGTAACCCGTGAGGGTTCGAGGAAAGGAGAGGCCTGCTGTATACGTATGCATGATCGTAAGAGGAGACTAATGTGGACCATACGTAATCGGGGAGGGTTTGGTTTAAATTTTGATTTATTCAAAGAAATACAAATTGTAGAACAGAATACGCTAAACAAAAACAAGTGTCGTGACACTTATGTAAATGTGTTACCTGCTTAATAATCAACTCTAGCTACAGGAATGAAGTGATATGAACAACAGAACGAATACGGGAATAGGGGAGGGGGTAATGGAATAGGGGAGGGGGTAATGGATTGATATGCAGTGGCAACCACGAATGAATAATATAGCAATATACATGTGATCATCTATATTGCATTGAGTATGTGGACCACTATTCTGTATAATATAACTAGTCTATGTTGTAGTAGATGATATTTTCAGCAATGCTGTAAATGGACACTCGATGACTGTTAGAAAATTACCACTGAATAACAATTGAAAAATTGAGTATGTCAAAAAGCACCGCTATGATTTATCAAAAACGTTGCAGTTTCATACTAGCTTTCACACATATCAAATATAAGTCCATAAAACACTTTCTAACCTCGTTCTTGGCACGTCTTGCTCTTTAAAGGTTACAAATCATTTTATCAATCTATCATAATCATGGCCAGTTAGTGACATACTATGGTATAAAATGGTTGAAACGAGGATGGTTTCTTCCTTGTCTTCTATTTCATTGGATTGATTCCAGTACCGAAATGTTACAATGGAGTAGGGCAAAATATTGACTACGTAGCTTGTTCACAATCTCATTGATGTGTGGACAGCCGGGTTTTAACCTATTCAAAAATAGAAATGAAGTCACGAACCCAGCAAAATTGTGGTCTTCTGTGACAAATGGATAAGGACCTGAAACTCAAACATATTCTGTTTGATAACCAGAACACATGATCTTACTCCCTTTGCACTTTTGCAACAGTCTCCTTGTAAATAATTCCTTTGTTCATGTCTTGTCATATAGTGTTATCGAATTTGAGTGAACATTCTAGTTTTGCTGACATTTAGGAATTCTCTTGTTGTGTTCTGTACGATATGATTTAAATACACTTTGACAGGCTGGAATTTAATCCGTTTGTGTTTAAAATATTTCCCTCCAATATAAGCCCAAAACCGTTGACATTGACGCCATTGAAACGCTGCCTGTCATCCGCAGTATGCATGTTTGATAAATAGAACATGGATTTTGTTTAGAGAAACTACGCGATTAATGTCTTTATATTTTACAACATGGTTTGCAGTACGCAGCCTCGTTCGTAACGTGCATACATGAACCACCTGGCAAAGCTGAACAATGCCTATGACCAACTGATAAATCGATACCACCCATACGGCATTATCTGATGACACGGAAAGCACGCCTTTTTGTGTGGACGGTTACATCAACAAGTAAGCGTGTACTTTATATTGTGTTTCCATTGAGTTTGCGGCGTATGTCGAGCCTTCGAGTTTGGTCAACTCAAGAAACGTTATTGAAGCGGTATAATAAGACAACCTAAAGGTAGGTTAATATGCTACAATACATACCATTAAGACAGCGGTGTAATGAGAAAACTAAAGGTGGTTTATTTACAGCTAAACTAACGTCATTGATGAGTTTATCCGCTAGTACACTTAACGCAAACAAATGATAAGCTAAGGTGAGGATATACATGACGTTGCTCAGAAGATTAGATAAATATTTAGACAAAGATGTCAAACTGCTTTTTGTAAACGCATATATTCCTCCTATAATAGATTATAGTTTAACTATTTGGGGACATTGTAGCAAAACATATCCTGAGAGAATTAACAAAGTAATGAACAGAGGAGCATAAACCAATGCTTACACCATCCCAGGACATGTTTCGTGAATTGAATCAGCTATCTTTCCGAAAGAGAGTAAAATATATGACAGCTGTTTTATTAAACAAAATTAGAAACAATCTAGCTCCTCAATATTTGTCAGAGTTTTCCGCACTATGTGCGGACGGTGTGTGCACGATGTATGCACGATGTGCGCACGCTATTTTTGATGCGTTGTGCGGGCACACTACTATAGTACCTGTAAAGTGATGATACGTTCAATGTAAGTCTAAATACATGTATAATATCTTAAAAAGTAAAAGGTTATAGTAAAAAGCTACATACGTTATATTATCAATCTGTTGTTTTTAAATACTCAATGATATATCCAACAACTGGTGTTTTGAATTTGTACAGTGAGACGTTATCTATTTTGTTATTTTTAATACTGTTAGCAGTAGATGTTAAATGACCAGGTGTTACAGATACAGCGAGCAACACATGCCGGTCTAAAATAACAATACAATTGGCGATTATTAACGACTCCACGATCACTTATCATCACATGCATTTCCTACCATTCACATGAGATGGCATGGCGGTAAACAAAGTTTTAGACATCGAAAAACAAAACAAAAACAAACAAATACAAAGCACAACACGCATTCATCACACAAACCTGCACATGATATTAGCCTGGCGCCGTAGGACACGCAGTTGGTGTCTTATGTTTTGACGCAAAGCCGTTATGGCGATAAATAAGGTATTTTTGATAATATTGTTTATATGTTTTTGATACAAATATCAATTTATATGCTTCATGTTTTTGTTCACAATAACCAATAATCAAATTTGGCCAAGCCTTCCGAAACGTATTATCTGCATGAAGTACACTTCAGTGAAATATCAATGTGGTTGGTCCTTCATTTTTCTATATCCGTTCCAGGAGACGTGCATGCTAAAAAAATCCAAATGGCTAGAGAAAGAAATTTAAGTGAAAGAGGTCAAACATTTGTGAAATTTATACGGAGCAACCTGCTTGTTATACTTATGTTCCTGTCAATGTTATTCGGAATCGGACTCGGCTGTGTAATAAGAACAGCATGGTCACCATGGGACAGAAAAAAACATCTTCTATCTCAAGTTTCCCGGGGACATTATGCTCAACACTCTACGGATGGTGTCTGTGCCTCTTGTTGTCTCCAGTATTATCTCGTCCCTGGCCTCGTTATCGATGAAGACTTCCAGTAGTATCGGACTGAGGGCACTAGTGTACTATCTGGTAACCACAGTGTGTGCTGTCATCACTGGCACTGTTGGGATTGATATTATTTCTATGGGCAAAGAAACAAAACAATCCATAACCCTTGGTGATGGCATGAACCAACTAGATTCACTTCTGGATATGATAAGGTAATATGAGTATATAATTTAAAAGAGCGTTTGTAATAAATCGTTGGTTTGATAATTATTGACATATTACTTGACCAAGAGTTTTTCTGTAATACACGCATATTCACACTCTGTGTATATAAATGTCATTTAACGCTCATATCAGATATGTCGCTTATTGTCATAAAAGTTACGTCAGGGCTATGCAGCTACAACATATTCATATTAATTTTATAATGTTATGTACTTTCGGACTAGCCACTTTACATTTTCATAAAACAAAAATGTAGGAAGCACTGGATGTGTCTCTGTGATTTCTTTTGGGTCATGATATTGATAAACATAAAAAATGACATTGCAAATACAACAATAAAAACTTTTTTTCAAAGAGAATACATGTTTAACTGAAGGCATATTTAAGCTTCAAAATATTATACAAAATCTACATCATAATTGTTCAAACGTTGTGTCCATGCGACGAATAAAATCACCGTGATTGATTTTATTTTGATATATCTAGTGAAAGAAGTTCTTAAAGATGACGTCACAGAATGCTCCTAATTAGAAATAAGTTGAAAAACAGTTTTATTCTTTTTTCAGGAATGCTTTTCCGGATAATATTGTAGAAGCAACACTGTCAAAGGTAAAATGTCAAGAATTCTAGAACAGAAAAATAGCATATATTTCGCTGCTTTAAACATATTTATCAAAAGAAAGTAAAGAGAAAGAAAAGTAAAAGAAATTGTGGGATTCCATTATTTTGATATTTTCTGTCGCTGATATGTCACCCTCATTTCAGAAACAATCAGTGTTCTCTACAAGCAATATGGAAATCGTCAATGGTAGTGGATCTTTCGGTTTTAACAACACAGAGGATATTATTGGAAGAAATATGCCAGGTAAGAACATTTCTACACACTTGATTGTGTTCCTCAGATAATGTTTGTTCTTTCGACCGTTAACTCCTATACACCTTCAATGTAATCAGTCTGATTCATTATTTTTCGTTCTTTTTGAAAAACCAAGTAGGACAGTGTGAATAAAATTTGATAAACTGTTTTAGCTATAATCTTTGTTAATCTGAAAGGGCTTTCTATGGTAGCTCTTTCCTGCCAATGCATTGCAATTCCTGATTTGTTGTCGCTAATAAGTATGAATTAAATTAGTTATGAACATTTATTTAGGGTCAGTGTATCCACAGTAATAGTCATACCGGTAATAATTAAACTTCCTTGGAAGCTAAGCAATGACGAATTTAATATTGCACAACAAATGATGTAAGTCCGAAGTGTTTCTTTCTGAATTTGCTGCCTGACAAAACTGGTAACAGTAGAACGTTTGAGAGTGTTCTCACCAAAGTGATCGTTCTGTCATTTGTTAAACCAGTTTGTTTAAAATGTATTTTAAATCGAACGATACAGTAAAATAATTTTGTTTTAGTGTTTTAACTTAACCTTTAGGATTGAAATGAATATTTTTATTAGTTAATGAGGTCATGCAACACACTACCGTTTAAATACATTCTCAAAGATGCGCTGGCCTTAAATATAAATATATATAATACCACAGGCATGACTATATAAAGGACAACTAATTGATTTGATCCTACTTTTAAATTCCAGTTGACGTCCCGATCGTTACATCTGTTCCCGGTACCAACATGCTGGGATTAATTGTAGTGTCCGTCTTCCTCGGATGTGTTCTGTCCAGTATGGAGGACAAAGCCAAACCTCTCGTGGACTTCTTCCAATGTCTATACCAGGCCATGATGCGGTTAATCTTAATATTTATATGGTAATGCTGATATTAATTTAAAGTATTATTTTCCAACCTCCTTTAACGTAAATATCAATTTATCTACATTTTTACACTTATTTTTTATCGAATCACATTTTTTGTTCTTAAACATTCTTAGCAAAAAACATACTACTTCAAAACGGTTTGACAATATGTGTTGATGCATAACGAGACATATTTAAACAATACCATATCAATGTTACTTCATTAATTTAGATCACATATCGGGCAGAAATAATATAAAAAGGCATTGCATCCTTAATAGATAATTCGATGTTGCCGTGAGTACGCTGAAACGATTATTTGAGCACAGTGTAAATAGAATTTTTGTTTTAGTCCGGGTGTAATGGCCTTATAGGCAAATTAAATACGTTAACATTCAATATGCAAGAACATTTGCTGAAGCGTCTCATACATTCTGATACTAATGCACCATATGCCAGTAGAACCATTTAGCATTTTACGGGCAATATAATTTAAACAACACACATGAAAGGTTACGTCTGCGGTTTTCACGGAGTGAACAACATATATGCAGTTGAAAGTTGTAAAAATATGCCCTAGACACTTGCCAGAGTGAGTGTTGTTCTATTGATAATACACAGTCAAAGAAAATACAGTGTATATGGACATCTTAGACATTCTGATTGATGATTTTGCGAATACGTCTAGTATGTAGGCGAAATTATAAGACGCAGACATGCAAAAATGGATAATTGACTTCGACTGTCATATATGGTGTCCTCTGTAAAATAGCAAACCTTCTCCGACTTCTGATAATAGATATCGAAGAGGGGAAAGCTAACCTTTTCATCCTATTCCTATAAATGTGATTGATGAACGGTTCTGTTTTCCACTGGTTTCATACTTTTTATTTGTGGTGTTACATCGAAACGACTTTCGACTTCATCAATTATTTATTCATTACACATAAATTCCTATTATTTTTAATTTCAAGGTTTGCCCCCGTAGGATTGATGTTCATAATAGCTGCTGCTGTCGTACAGATCGAGAGGCCGACGGAAGCCCTCCTCGAGTTTGCTGTCTTCATACCTACAGTTATATTTTGTCTTCTGTTGCATGGGTTTGGTACCGTACCGCTCATGTTTTTCTTGGTGACCAGAAAAAATCCTTATATATTCATAAAGAATATGTCCAAGGCGCTGCTGACAGCCTTTGGATCGACTTCAAGGTATGCATTACAAATAAGATATTAACTTTATTCTATCGAATATGAAATTTATCATTCAAACATTTCATCGTTTTATAAGCAAGCTTATTCATTTGACCGCTTTATCTGATGTTACAAGACAAAGAGAATGGGCCACAGTGGCCAAATGGTTAAGGCATCTAACATTCTGTTACCATTAGCCCTCCACCACTGGGTCGCGGGTTCGAGACCTACGTGGGGCAGTCACCAGGTACTGGCTTTAATCGGTAGTTTTTCTCCGGGAACTCCGGTTTTCCTCCACCACCATAACCTGGCACGTCCTTAATTGACCATAGACGTGAAACACACAAAAAAATGAAACCAGATCAAGACGATAATGATAACAAATTCACTTCTGACTATCGTAGTATTATGAAGTTATTTTGTGATATATTTGATAGAATAATAGGGTAATATCCCTTAATTCTTTTTAAACAATAACAAACATCACAATATCACGTTGTTTGTTGATATAAAATAAGTGTCTACTATAAACTGTGTGTTATGGTTTGTGTCTGTCCTAGTGCGGCTGCTCTCCCCTTCACGATGGACAACCTGATAAAGAAGAGTAAGGTCAACAGCCGTGTTGTCAATTTCATTGCTCCGATAGGGGCAACCATCAACATGGACGGTACTGCGCTGTATATTCCGATGATGGCTGTTTTTATTTCCCATCGTATTGGATTGGTTTTGGAACCTGCACGCTATGTTGTGATCGGGTAAGTCCATAAGTTCTGCTGTCAAGGTCGAATAATATCTTAATTTTTGAATGACAAATATAAGTGGCTGAGAAAATTTGCAACTCTTTATATGTGCTGGTGTCATTAATGTTTACACCGACATAGGACATAAATCCAAGAATAAAACTTGGTGTTTTTAAGTATGACCTGCCTAAAGTATACAGACAATTGATTTGTTAAATCTGTATAGGTTACAGATAATGCACTTAGTGAGATATACATTTTCATAAAATTGTTTGATACTCACATTTAAGGAGTGAACTTGATACTTAAGGTACGTTTCGAGGTGTTGAGAATCAATACGCCGAATTTGCCATTCCGGATGGTTATTTCTATAACCTGAATGATAATTTCGCTAGCGTATTGTTGGATTTATAATGCAAACAATTTGTAAAAAATCAAAATCGTACACATTCTCTTTTCACCATTTTCCTGCATTGCATTTGGTTTGATGAATTAGAAAATGTTTTAATGTCCAGAAATCGCTAATGCACATACAATGTTGTGTTACAAAATATCTTGATTGATTAATCATAACTCAAATATAATAGACACCTCTGCTCGAAACATTATACTAGTAGTCAACTTTAAGTAATGTCTGTTACTTCTTAGTTAGTTTTTTATGGTTGACAGAATAGGACAAGATATGTCACCCATAAACCACGAGGAGCGAATTTTATTTGCAGAAATCTGTGAGTCCATATGATCTGGATCCCTAAGTTGAAAAGCAATTTCGGTAGTCATGTGTTTCATGTACTTTTCTTGATCCTTCGACATAGTGTTAATTATATAAGAACATAAAATCAATAATTCACAGGCAAATCATTGAGAAAAGACCTATCTTTAGGAAGGGAACGTATGTGTATGTTACAGTTTTAAGCAATCAATATGTCAGAAGTTAAGTCACAATTTGTCAAAAAGGTTAAATGAAGATTACACTTTCACAGTTCGGTTGTGAAATGAAATAAACAAAGTGCGCATTGATTTGTTATTTAACAAAAACCGAGTTTAACATTAAAACCTTGATTCATCTTAACTTTAACGTTGCTACATGCGTAGAAAAGAAATTTAAATGCTTTTTTTGGTTTAACAAATCGTAAACAGGACGGTGTAGTTATACCAGCGATTGATAGAATCTGTATGAATACATTAATTAAGCAACATGATACTTATTTGTTTACCGACAAAGATCACATTGCTAACTATAGCCCTGAACTCGGGTTATGGGATTGGTAGGTCTATGGTGATAGCTTGAATTATAGCTTTCAAAACCGTAAGTAAGTAACAGGAGCATAACCTTGAAACACACAAAACTGTCCCCATATTTGTCATATCTTATGCTAGAATATCAGCCATAGGAGTATCCTTATGGGCAGCAGCCATTCCAGGCACGGATGGTCGTGACCGTGGCGGCCATGGCGGTAGGACTTCCTGTAGAACAAGTCCTCCTCACTGCTCCGTTTGATTGGATTTTGTAAGTAATGTAATTTTGCTTCATAATTTATATATGTTTCCTTTGTATTTCAATAACGATTTGTTAAGAAAGTACATCTACTCCTGTTTACGTATGTAGTGTCTGTCTCATCAACTGACATGTTTACATATGTCTGTCTCATCAACTGACATGTTTACATATGTCTCATCAACTGACATGTTTACATATGTCTGTCTCTTCAACTGACATGTTTACAAATGTCTGTCTCATCAACTGACATGTTTCCATATGTCTGTCTCTCAACTGACTTGTTTAAATATGTCTCTCTGATCAACTGACATGCACATTCTCCATTTTGGGGATATCATTAACGATGGACATTTTTTCTTCATTAAAGCCATTGTGTACGGTGAAATGGAATTTAATTGCATTACAAATATCGAGAGTGAAAAGGTAGGGAAAGGGCTGTCTAACAACATAACACATAAATAACGCAAAACAATTAACAGTCACGGGACGAAAAGGTCAAAGAACAGTTTAAAAACAAGCTTAACAGTGAAATACATACTTTGGAAATGATAAAACATAACAAACTTTTTCATGATTAGCAGTTTGTATGAACTATTTACAAAGAACAAAAAGGTATCACAAGCCCTGCCTCGAGCACGCATACACACAAGCCCTGCCTTGGGCACGCAGGCACACAAACCCTGCCTCGGGCACGCACGCACGCACACACACAAGCACGCATAAATTGCACACATGGAGGCACGTCCGTCAATGTCCTTAATAGGATGCTAAACAAAATAACACCAAACCATGTATCCTAAGGACGACGAACATATAAAGTAATGAACATAGAATATAACTATGCCATATTCGGATGAAACACACCTCGAGATGGAACTCTTCAGCACCTTTCACAATATATGAGTAAACTTCAACGTTAGACTCGTAATGGCCTTTTTGTGTGTACCAGGTATTCGAAACATTGTACAAGTGGACGTAACGTTGAGTCAGCGTGGAGGGTGGGGGGAAACGTCACGGTGGAAAGTGGTGATCGTTTGCCCGCACGTGACGTGCAAAGTAGACAATTGTGATAGCATAGGAATATAACTACAGCAATCTAAGTATGTGATTCGGGAGTCGTAGTTCCTGAAGGAAAAAGACTCTCGCTTCCTTCTTAATTGTCGCGTGTGCACAACACAAAGGAAACTGCTTCATTATATTAAGATATTACGTTGAATATATGTTTGTAAAATATGAAGCGCAGATATAAATATTTAATCTCCGATCTTTATAATAAAGTTTGATGGGAATAAAAACAAAGGTTTATCGAATTTAAATAATAAAATCTTTTACGTTAATCGTGAATCCAACATATGCTAACAAAGTGGTTTTGTTTATGTTGAGAACTTACATACCGTGCCCTATTATCATAATGTTACATGTTTTTATTCACTGGCATGTTACAAACTAAGAAAGTGTCCATAAACTTCACTCTCTTTCATGGTTTCCGTACCATATTACACTATGGCACATACAAATATAATTCCATCTGTTTTGTGTTGAAAGTCACCACACTGTGACATATTTAGGAAAGTGAAGAATTTAATCAATTGATTTTGTCAAACATTGAATGACTCAATATAATAGATTTAGCTAAAATAGAATTTAAAGACTTTGCCAAGATTATTTGCACTCAAACGGTGGAAGAGGTGTTAGTGAGTGTAAGGGAGGACAACTCTGGGTAGAGATTGCCAGTTCTCTATATCGCTATGAGATGTATCTCCCTTCCCGTATCATAACTTTCAACATGTTAATATAGTAATATCCATAATTGATAAAGCTGTGATATTCATACCACGGAAGAGAAATTATATAGGCCGTTAACCTTTGAGTAAGCAATCCTTCTTATATAATAAAACTTACGCAGGTCCAGGGAAATAGCAAGTTGGCTTTATCCGACTGCATGATTGTAAGATGCAAGTAATTCGGTGGCCATGCAGAATGAGGGGTGGTTTCTTCCTTGTTTTCTGTTCAGGGAGCTTTGAAGTAACTAAGAATGTGTATCGCAAAAGGCGACTAATATGGCCCTCCTGCATAATCGCAAATTTCCTCTGTTTTAAACAAAATATTTCAAATTCTGTATTGCAATTTATCTGAGTGGTCCTTGTGCCTTTTAAACCCGTTATATTGTTTCAAATTTACACCTTAGATATCTATTAGATAGCGGTTGTCTTAACTGATATAGATGTAAACACCATTCTAGAACAAAATATAGCCAATCACTATAAAAAAATACTGTATCTTCATTTTTTCTTTTTTTATCAAAAAGGCACGTGATGACTGCTTTTCATTTTATTACGTTGTCTTTGTACTTTTTTTAAGTTATGCATGTCTACAAAAATAAAAATAACGGGGTTTTTTGAGCGAAAAAAAATCATGTACGATGTAAAAGCGTCCTAATAACATGGGAATGTTGATGGCTTTCAACGAATGATAAAGTATCTGTATAAATATATAAAGGATGCTTATTTTTTGTTGTCCAAACATTGAACCTTTTTCTTTATGCAATGAACGATTTCGGGTAATGATCAACGTTTCGGGAGATTCTTTTGGAGCCGGCATCGTCGACCATTTGAGTTCTTCCATGCTGACAAATGACAAACCAGAAGTGAAGAGTACATCATCAGAATGTCCTGGAGATGCCGAGGAGGAACACACTTTTGTTTGATATGGACATGTTTTCTTCAAAGACTTGGCGTAAGATTAAAAAAAAAAAAGTTCCATGAGAGAGGTTTATCACATGTCAACTTGTGGCGTGATTCTACCTATGGATGCTTGGGTGAATATTTCAAGTATCGGTACAGTAAAATATATACAGATGTAATAATTGTATTTGGCATCTCGCAATGTTGAAAGTAAATTACAAGTATCATTATATTGTGTTATTCATGTAATAGGTTACCGTTTCACAGATCGTCCTGTTATGATACCCCTTTATCATTCATAGCACATGTTTTCTTTTAATAAACAATGAGAACAAATACGACGTGTAAACAAAACCATAATTCGAACTAAAAATTGATTAAACTAGGACGAATTATGAAAAAAATGATATGGAGACCCTTGAAAAATAACAGAGATAATTAGACTATGTGTTTTGAAGGGTTAGTGTCGTCCGAAAACTCAGGTAGTGATAACAAAAATACCTCAATGATCAGAATAGCTTTAAATTTTGCTCAGGAAGCTGGAATATTATTTAGCTTGGCTTTGGAATGCTTGCAATTTCTATGTCTAATTTTGAGTCTGATATCATTAGTCATTCAATCATTAGGTCTTATAGTTACTGTTTTATGTGGCACGAATAGGTCTATAGCAGTCCAGAATTATATCAGTTAAAAGAGAGTTCATATTTTCAATAACAATAACAAATTCAGAGAGACACTAGCGATGGCCAAACATTATTTACATTAAATTTGAGGATCCGTAAACAAACAAATGTGTAATTCCAATATCAAGTAGAATGAAATGACCCGCCGCCTCCCTTACCCCAGACCATATACGGATTATGCAATAGAGCTAACGATTTCCCTTTATAATAAACTTGGCGTTACCTGTTGAGAGTAGAACAATCCTACATAACTTTCACGAACTCGGGGGTCAGTGACTCGGAAGTGATTGGATGGTTCAGATTATTAATATTATAAAGGTTATTGAAGTAGAAATATAAAGTCATATAACCATTAAATTTTAATATTAAAAATAATAAATTGATAGCATAAAAATAGGATAAAGAAATAAACTATAGTAGGTACTGTAAACATAGTATAGTTCATCAGGTTCAGTAGATAAAAGAAACTACCATTGATGCAAAATAACAAAAAAAAAACACATCAAACACTAATTCACTAGCCCTGCTTTTTGTATAGGGCTGTAAATATAACTCCCTTTTTACTAATAAAACCTTGCGGCATATATATGAATGTATGAATTCTTTAGACAGACAGACGGACAGTTGACGTGAATTTTTATAGAATATACCTACTATAAATGACTTATTAAGAATAGCGAAAATACATTCACCACACTGAAAAATAGCTTTGTTGACATTGAGTAGGATGACCTCATCCGTGACCTCAGATTAACATGTTTTCTTAGTACATGCAGTCATACGTGCAACACCTCAAGGTAAAGTTGGACAGTTATTCGTTATGCGTTATTCGAAAAACAAATATCTTTCTAACTTTACTTTCCGGAAAGGGGGG